ACTTGACCTTCACAGTGGTCTTTGGCTGATAAGCCTTTGGGTATGCTCCAGTGTGTCTGCAGATAAGTCTTGTGCTTTACTTTGTGTTGCTGTTAAAGTTGTTCTAATGAGGAAAAGAATAAGTAATAAAGGTTCTCTTTTTGAAATACAAAGAGCACTTGCAGGGAGCGGCCTGGGGCCATGTGGGAGCGTGGTTGGTTTGGCAGTTCCTGGTTTTAGTGGTTATAACAGCAGTGACCACGGGCTGAGATGTGGTGGTGGGGAGTGCTCTGTGGTCCCCTGGTGGAAGCCCAGCTGGGAACCCCTTTTCACCCAGCAGATGTGGGGTGTGGTGAGGTCCCTGGATAGCTCAGAGAGGCCACACCAGTGATCCAGGGCCACAGAGACCTAGGTCAGGGCGTCCTGGTCAGGGGTCTGTGAACCCATCGAATGTGCGTATGATCACGTGTATGTCCACATGTGCGCTTTTCTTGGGGAGGATGACCATTGTTTCCATCTCATTCTCACTTGGGTCCGTAACATTCATTCATTCGATGGACTCTATTGCTAAACACAGACTGGGCTTGGGGCTCTGTGCTGGGGCTGGCAGTCCAGACAGGGTCCAGACGGACTCCAGACGTGTGGCTTTGGTGTGACTAGGGACCAGGGTGGAGGACGGTGGAAAGTGTCTAGCTCAGGCGGTGACACTGGATCAGTCACTTCTTTCCTGAGCCTCAGTTTCCCTGTTTGGGAAGAGGGTTCAACAAGCTCCATGCCCCCCACCCTCCCTGGGTTTTGTGAGACTCGGGGGGAACCATTATGTCATTGTGGCTACTGAGACGGCTCAAAGCTCATTCAGAGCAAAAGGCATTTGGACCAAATACATTTAAGCAGGCTCCACACCCAATGTGGAGCTTGACCTGGGGCTTCAGCCCATGACCCAGAGATCAAGACTCGATGCACGGCTTGAACTTGCAACCCTGAGGTCAAAGCCTGAGCTGACACCAAGAGTTGGAATCTGACTGAGCCACCCAGGTGCCCCTGGGCTAAGTACATTTAAGGAAGTCCAAGTAAAATAGATAGCAAAGGCACCTGCTGTTAACTGAGCTCTTACTATGTGCCTGGTGCTGTGCTAAACGTAATCTCATCTGAGCCCAGGTGCTTTTTAGCTCTTTTGCTGCAGGCACTAAGGCTGGGGAGAAAGTCAGTCATGTGCCCAGTACTTTGCAGAACCATAGGGCAGACTCAGTTTTGTCTGACCCTTGACCCCACCACATCCTGACCTCCCTGGAGCCACACCAGTAGTCCTGTTGCTCCTAGCCTCTTGTTAGCCCCCTGGTGTCTGCCACAGAAAGGCCCCTCTCTTCATGCTCCGGTGGGGGTGTCCAACATTTATCCCTTTGTCCCTTCCAAACAGTGATATTTAAAATGCCTGGAACCCAGAGGTGGTTCACAGGTCCCTGTGATGTCAGCCGGTCAGGCAGACTCACTGTGAATTCTGAGTGGATCGTAGATGACTAAGAAATTCTCTCCTTTCTTCTTCTCCCATAATCTGAAAAGACACCCAACAAGTTCATCTTTCGGTTTAAATTTGGCCAGTGCCTTTAGTCTCTGGATGTCTCAGATTATGAATCCCGAGCACCCGCCATCTGCTCTTTCATGCATAACGGATGAAGCCGGGAAGAACAGAGTCGCCTTTCAGATTTGATGTGACCTTCAGCTTCACCGGGTGGGTGTTGAGGTCTCCTCTCCCAGGAGGAGATACCATCCCAGTTAAACCTCTCCAAGGACTTCTCAACAAGCCCAGATAAGGAATTGGGGTGGATTCCGTGCCCTCAGTTATGGCTTGGGGTCTGGCCTTGCCCCACTGCCACCGCCTGTATACAGATCACAGCAGGTGGCCCCTTTATGTGTTAGAGGACGTGAACCTTTCTCCAGTGTTGTATACCTGCCAGGCCTGTTAGGTCCTTTACACCTAACGATGGTGATACTGGTTGTAACAACCGTGCTAGGAGATGGGTGGTCGCGGTCCCATTTTCAAGATGGGACAAGTTGAGGGTCAGGGAGGATAAATGAGTTGAGCAAAGTCTCACGGCCAGTAAGGAGCAGACCTGGATTCACACCCCGGGGGGTGGCCCGACTGCAGTGCTTGTGTACTTACACGGCACTACCCACCCTGTGGAGTGAAGGGCAAGTCCAAGCCGAGCCGCCCACACCCAGCAATGGGCAGCCTCTCCCAGGGGACAGATGAGAGCTGCTGGCCAGTGGGGGCGTCCGCGGGCAGAGTGGCAGGGTCTGGGACAGGGGCCATCTTCCAGACTGGTCCGAACACATCCTGCCTGCCTGTAACCAGGTAGCTGCCCTGTGGGGCTGCTTCTCTGGACATGCCCAGTTGAACACTTGGCAGCCATGTCTCCTCACGTCAGCGCCAGGTAGTGCCCACCCCACCCCCCAGTGGGCATTGCCCAGCCTGTGGCGGGCAGGGAACGGGTGGCCAGAGTGAGCTTGGGGGTCTCTGAGAGGAGGAAGGCTTCCTCTGACAGCAGACTGCACGCATTTCTGGTGGTGCAGGGCAGCCGCAGAGGAACCAGGAAGGGGAAAACAGCTCTGGAACACTGGTAGCACCTACACACATCAGCTAGTTGAAGCGGCTGCACAGTGACTGGGCTAGTAGGCATTATACGCCCATTTTAGAGACCATGAAACTGAGGCTCGCTGAGCTTATGTGGCCTGCCAGCCTCCCACACGTGGTAAGAGGCAGGCCTGGGATTCAAAGCCTGTGTGTTCTCCACCGACCTGGAATGGCCCTGCCTCCCTGTGGGTCACTTGGAACGTTTGGACGATACCTTGCTT